CATGAAACTTGCTATATAAGAAAAAAGCCAATAACTTGCTCAGAGTCCCAGATTTTCTCACTCACAGTACTCAAATTTTCATATTTTTCTGAGCTTACACAGTCCTGATATTAAGCAGCTTCCATAGCCTTAGAAACAAGCTTAGAATTTGAGAGAGAGAGAGAGAGAGAGAGAGAGAGAGTATGATATTCGCTATTCCTAAGACCTAATACATCAAAACGGATGACAGAGCAACAAGAGATCTAGGTGCAACTCTTCTGGAGATGCCCTCGAAAGTCCGCATTAACTTCCCCTTGTAGGTCACTATAAGCTGTTGACCATGAAAAAGACATCTCACTTCATATTTACGCGCTTGATGGCTGATGCCGTCACAAGGTATAGTGGTGTTGAAAACCGCAGATTGAAATGGCAACCTAAACCCGTAAACTGGAAATACGATGAGAACCGAAGATTGGACTGGATATCATGGAAAAGACTGGATTGACATCTCAACCACAGCAAAGAAGAGGCTAGCCACGACATAACCAAGACCCCAGCAAACCTGCAATGCAGCAAGCAGATTTTAAGATACGCTTTTTGGCAGAAATGAATCCCGGACCCGATAACCCACCAGGTGTCTCATCCTTACTATATTAAGGAAAAGCACATCTGTAAATCCTGTGATTTCTTATGTATGTCTTACAAAGTTGGGTAATATTCTACAAAAATGTGTGGGATTTTGATTGTTTTTCTTTATAGACGGGTTAACTACTAAAAAGATCATGACTTCTGGGTTCTGACCATCAAGTTAGCCCAATTGGGCCACACAATCAAAATCCCACACATTTTTGTAGAAACACAACATGCGCGTAAGAAAACTAAACTTTTCATGACGTCCTCTTTGAGTATGTTTGGTCGAAAGGTGGGGATCAACTTCCTACGTTTTCTTCTAATTTTGTTTCATCACATGTTGGCTGTCTAGTGTAGCGTCTTGTATGAATCAGCGGCTGGCCCATTAGCATGGCATTGTATTACAGTGATCCATGAGCGTTCTTTCCATATGGGAAGGAAGTAGGAAATTTGATGCGTTTAAAGTCAATAGTTTAGAATTATTTGGCATTAACTTCTCCAGCAAATGAAATTTTTTGCAAACCATCCGACCATGCCATGCTGTGTCTCTGATTTTGGCAATCCATACTCTTTTAAGTGTATTTCCATAAGTTCGTGTATTTGGATCTCAAGACACATTCTTTTAATTGGAGCTTGTATGGTCCTTTTAAGGGGCTGACCCGTCAGTCACAATCCCATTGCAATCACGAACTTTCTGTCACAAGTCTTATAGAAAGTATCAATAAAACTGAAAAATTTTCAGTCACATACTTTTATATCATAATTCGATGTACGCCAACTCTCCCAGGAACGGTGCCACAGAGGGATTATAGCACACACGCTCTATTCTTTCTTTTGCACTTAGAATTCGGCCGTTTGTAACTTCGGTTTATTATTAGTACCACTTTCATAATCCTAGAAATGTGGTAGGAAACTAACAACGTTTTAACCGGTCATATTGGCCCGGATAAATGGTCATCCTAAAATGTTCTACTGAATCCGATCTGAACTCAGTCCATACTGGCCCAGTAACCAGGAATTCAAGCTCCAACCTGATTAACGGAGCAGCTTAGAAGCACCAACAATTAGAGGGCATCGGCATAACTCGTCCGACGCTAATTTCCTAAAAAATCTTCCATCCGAGGTCAACAATTGCGTGCAATAGCTCAGCGCGGTCCGCTTTCGAAATGCTTCCTGTAGCTGCGACCAATCCGCAAGATATCGTCTTCCACTTGGACTTCCACAATGGATTTCTTAATCAACGACCAAGAACAGGAAAACAAGGATAAGATAATGTAGTTTAATGAAACTTTGACTGAGTGCTCTTTTTGCACATCTCCTTTTTAGGTAACGTGATGAAGTTTCTCGCTGCATGTGAACAGACATTCCTTTGTCAACACGGTGGGAATTCGGTCAAGGACCGGAACTTCGCTGATGGAGCTTCAAACTAGAATAATGACCCCTTAGAAACACGGAAAGAAGGAACCCAATCAGTCTCAAAGTTCACAATTTTATATTTAAGCTCGTTGATGAGTGCGTTTTGATAACTAATTTATGGTTCGATAACATTGGAAATTAATATGTAGTCATTTGACATGTCCAAAAGCATTTAAACAAGACCTCAAAAGGAACTGGTTTTAATGTTGTCCGGATGGCAAGATGGTTGGAACAGACTGCATTCCATCTCCAGGCGTCAGTTGGAAGACTCTGATGCAAACGGCAGTTTGGGTTCTCTGTCCACCCTAGAAAAGTGCGCAATGAAGACAGAAGTCACGGTGTTGATTGATGCTGTGGACTATGAAGCAATCCATGTGGTCGCCTTTACAATAGATAAGATCATGAGAAATCCGTGAGTTGCTAGTCAAAGTAATGAGCTTTAGTTAACGTATCATTGTCAGATGTAATCTTACCAATCATCCTCCCTCTCATTTCCGCTACTGTTAGTCAAATGCTGATGTTTGATGCTGAAAACGCAGAATTTTGTCCAATCAAAAAACCATTCACCAAGTCTACACTTCTCATATTTTTCGTCTATAATTACATTAATTACTGCAAATAGCAGTCCCTTTATCCCTCCAAAAACACACCTTGAACCATGAACACCCGAAAGATGGATGTCCGGTGTGTTTTGCTTGCCACAGGAAACTTGGTTTTGTGCTTCTCAGGCTTCGCGGCCGCAGTTGACACTGTCGATGCATCTCAACCGTTAAGTGATGGTGAGACAATAGCTTCGAGTGGGGGAACTTTTGAACTGGGGTTTTTCAGTCCAGGCAGTTCGAGGGGCCGTTACTTGGGAATTTGGTACAAGAACATCCCACTTAGAACTGTTGTTTGGGTTGCAAATAGAAGCAATCCAATTAACGGCTCTAGCGGCACGCTGATGATCAATAGCACAGGCAATATAGTCCTCCTAAGCCACAACAGCAGTATCGTTTGGTCTGCGAACACTACCGAACAGGCCGAGAATCCAGTTCTACAGCTCTTAGATAATGGAAATCTTGTGCTGAGAGACGGCAAGAATTGCAGTTTGGATACTCATTTGTGGCAAAGCTTCGATTACCCTACCGACACTTTTTTGCCAGAAATGAAGCTTGGATGGGACTTGAAGACCGGTCTCAATCGGCAATTATCTTCCTGGAAGAGTCCAGATGACCCGTCTCCAGGAGATTTCACTTGGGGGATGGCCAACCGTAATTTCCCTGACATCGTAGCATGGAAGGGCTCTGACAAGTACTTCAGGACCGGACCATGGAATGGCCTTTGTTTTAGCGGTGCGCCGCAACAAGGGTCCAATTCCATTTTCTGGTATAATTTCGTATCCAATGCAGAAGAAATTTACTATATGTATCATAACACCAACAAATCTGTGCTCGTAAGGAATGTCTTGAATCAAACAAATTACTTGTGGGAGTGGTCCGCGTGGAGCGAAGTGACTCAAAGCTGGAGGCTCTTCCTCACTGTTCCAAAGGACTACTGCGACACCTATGGCATTTGCGGTGCCTACAGCAAATGCATAACTAACCAGCTGCCATATTGCCAATGCTTAAAAGGTTTCACATCCAAAAATCAGGATCAATGGAACTCCACTGACTGGTCACAAGGATGTGTTCGGAATGAGCCTCTGAACTGCAGCATCAGTGATGGATTCATAAAGTATCCTAACATGAAATTGCCGGACACTACTCATTGTTTAGTGGATAGTACCCTGAGCCTCGATGATTGCCGGACCAAATGCTTGGACAACTGTTCATGTACAGCATATGCAAACTCAGATATCAGAGGACGAGGAAGCGGATGTGCAATGTGGTTCAGTGATCTGATAGATATAAGACAGTATCCAGATGCTGGGCAAGTTTTATATTTGCAGATGCCAGCTTCTGAAATAGGTACTATCTTGTTTTGGCATCTCTTAGAAAAGTAGATCTTGCACTAGATTTCCATTTCATCTATCATTCTTTTTCCTTTCAAATGTGAGCACACACCTTTCAATAGTTACCCGTCATATTTGGCATTTATATGTTTTTTATGCTAACTTTTCAATTGAGCAGGGAAGAGTAAGTCCAAGGTGTGGATAGTTCTGGTAGTTGTATTAGGAATTGCCATAACTACTGCCATGCTAGTCGCCATCTGTTATGCACGCAGAAGAAGGAAAAACTTCAGAGGTACATATTTCTTCTCATGACTCTCCTCACAATACTTAGTTTTCATGCCAAAGAGAAAATCTGTGGTCAAGGAAAAGAGAAAAGAATATCCAAAATTATCACTCTAAATTTGATAACTAAAAATTTGGCATAGTCAGAGAGTTGCATGATACCGCAGAAAAATATATCTGAAGGTCGAGAGTGAACACCCTGATGATGACTTGGAGCTCCCATTATTCGACCTACACACAATTGCTGAGTCCACAAACAATTTTTCAATGAGGAACAAGCTAGGTGAAAGCGGTTTTGGACCAGTATACAAGGTAAAACAAAATTTGGAGTGGACTATCCGAAACATAGCACAATGATCCTGCTTTTGGAATTGAATCTTCCCATTGTTATTTTTTTTTTCCAGGGTATACTTGTAGATGGATGAGAAATCGCTGTAAAGAGACTTTCAAGTAGCTCTAGGCAAGGACTGAGGGAGTTCAAGAATGAGGTCATACTAGTTGCGAAACTTCAGCACCGAAATCTAGTAAAGCTTCTTGGTTGTTGCATTCAGGGAGACGGAAAAATGCTGATCTACAAATACATGCCCAACAAAAGCTTGGATGCGTTTATTTTTGGTAAACTAGCTGATTCATTTCGGGTTTAAATACAAAATGTAGCTATTGCCTGGAAAAAAAAAAGGCATATGAGACATGGCACTGACTTGACTAAAACTTGACAGATAAAGAGAGAAGAAGTAAGACATTGGATTGGTACAAGCGGTTCAAAATAGGAGCACACTGACCAAACAAAGAGGGATACAATATGAAATCATGAGTGGAGCAATTAGACCATGTTAAACACTCATTTGCCAGAAGTTCAAACTATCAATGAACTTGCACAAAATGCATATCAAGCATACTCCTCATAAGAGGATACAAATGTCACATTTACCATGAAAGAATAAAGACGGTAAGAAAGATGGAGTTTCCTTGATAACTAATTATTCTCTCTAAACTCAAAAGGCTATTACAGATATTTGACTGAAGATAATTCTGGTAACTTTGATCAATCTATATCCTCTAACAAAAACTAATTATTGAAAGAAACAAGTGTCTAAAATCCTTTACTCTCATCCTGCTGCAATTCTTAAACAAAGAGAACAACAAAGGTTCTTTCCACTTGTACTGAAGCTGATTTTCTGTGTTTCAGGCTACTCCATGTTGTTACAGCCAAACCCTGTTTAGTCATGCCGAGCATGATGCCACATATAGATCCAATTTCCACTTTATCTAAAATCTGTGGTACCACCTAAAAAAGGGTGTAGTATGCACCCATTACCCCATAAACAGGAAGAGAACAAATGATTTCATACTCCCCCAAGACTATTCCACACATGCAGAAATCATAAGCACTAGAACATGAATTTGGAGACCAAAGCATCCTTCCCATACCGTGCAATGGCCGTCTACAAAGATAACATGAGGTCGATACGGTAATTCAGTGACCCTGGAGGAAACGTATGCATTGTACCAATCAGTAACCGTGTGAAAGGTTTGCATATTCAAAGCGGGTGATAAGAATTGTTGGCTCCTCAATCCACTGAGGCGTCAAGAGAGATAATGTTAGAGAGAGATAAAATGAAATGAAGAGCAGAGAAAACAGAGAGAAAAGTAGGAATAGTCCACATAAAAATGATAGATAAACAGCTAGCAGGAAAAAACCACCTGTCTAACCACATTGGTCTAGACTCTAGATCCTCAAAACTTTGGTTCTCATCTTTCCCAGAATCTAGGGAATACATGATCAGCCGATTGCAGTTTCAGTTTAGCCAGAAATTCCAGCGTCGCGACAACCATTGGTTCTGCGCAGCCATAATCAATCATGAAAGGGTAGAGCTACCACAAAAGACCACCTGTCCAACTGAATTTACCCGGAACGTAGATCTTTCCAATCTGTGTGGTTCCCATCTTTCTCGGAATCTAGGAGATAATTAATCACTTGTTAGCATATTCAGCTTTCATTATCACTGATCCCCAAACTGTAATAGCATTCAATCAATTCCATATCCAAAAATGCATAGCAATTTGTATTGCACTCCCCTAACAAATGACATAACCATGGAGCTCCATCACCATTGATCATTATCACATCCTACTCCGCCATAAAACTGCATAAAAGCCGCAATGCCGAATTCCCGTAACCACCAGTAAATTCCAGTTTCCAATAACTGACACGACTAGAACGGAGAAGAGGACGAACAAATGGACCAAACAAGCACAACCTGATCGCACCGCAACTCTCCTGGTTTGACAGACACGAATCGACCCGACCCGATCAAATTACGAACCGGATGCCAAGAACTCGATCGCTCAGGAGACTCTTCCCTCTCCTAAACCCCAACTCGCCGCCGCCTCCACCCTCGGCGATGTGGAACGTGTCGTCCTCGAACACCGGCATCTCCTCCTCCCCGCTCCTCCCCATCACGTCATCCAAACCTTTCCCCTCCCCACCGCCATCCTGATCCTCTCCGGCAACATCCTCAGCTGCTCCTCCCCATCACGTCATCGCTGTGGATTTGTGATGAAGAAGCTTTGCGGGTTCGCTTCGGGGAAGGGTGGAAGTAGGGGTAGAGAGAGTTTTTTTTTATTTTTAAAGTTTCGTTTATTTTCCTGCTAGGAAAAAAGAGTTTTTTTATGCACGGTAAAACGCCCAACATACGGTAATAAATCCAGAGGAAATCACAATCTTTGACCATCAAAGTTCTGAATCAAAACAAAATAAAAATCAGTACCTTTGATCATCAATTTTTGTTTTTGTGAATGAATGTATTTATAACGCATCCCGTGCATAACCGTTGCTATCTTGTATAGACGAGCTTCAGAATTATACTTACAAACAAATTTATTGAATATCTCATTAGATTGATAACAAAGAGTCTTCGTACAGATAACATCAAAGAACCATCTCAATCCCAAAATTAAATTAGAATAAACCGTTATGGATACGATTTTTTCAAATTACAAATAAATCACCACAAATTTCGAATCAATATGCAATTCTGAGAAGCAACATGATTTTTTTTCCCTTATGCCCCGCTATCCAAGAAAGAAGTAATTAGAGATGAATTCGTTTGTTTTGAGGAGTTTCTTTTCTTTTTTTCTTCTTCGATTTGAATAAAACCTTTTAAGTAGGAGCCGGTTTTCAGGAAGGGGAGACATCTTCTTGTCGTGGACCACTCTTTTTAGCTTTCTTCTTTGGCGTTGTGATTGCAATGTCCAACCCGTCTTTGGAGCCTTATACATTTGGACAGCTATTGATATAAACGCGACTGTCCATTGAATTTGATACTTATCGCAAATGTAAGCACGTGTGGGGGTGAGAGAGAGTCGGTCGACGGAGTTTACGTTTGTCTTTTTACGCATAAAGTAGAGTTGAAGTTTATGTACGAAATTATCACCGTCGAGACCAGTGACCTTAGTCTGAGGACCGTCTCCAGCACCTCAGGCATGAAATGCCTAAACGTGCATCAGACTAGAGTTAGAAGAGTCGCAATCGTTTCTGGTTAGCTGAGCATAGACAAAATGGCTGGGATGTGCTTTGTCGGATGCATGACTGGCTGTGGTTAAGCTGCATAGCAAGTTCTTTTCAGTCTCATAAATGCAGTGTAAATTCTTGCTTCGGCCAGTTGATGGAAAAGCTTTGAACTCAATCAGTCCCTCACTTTACATCCTTTTCCTAAGAACAATCATCTTATCCCGACTCGAGCATCAAACAACAAAGGGAAGCCAAATGGTGAACACATAGTTCAAATTAGATTCGTCTAATTAGTTTTCCTTCTCATGCAAGAAACTAGAGGAGACTGCACTGTGAACAGAAGCAACTAGAATCATATTTGCGTTAACTTGTTACTTGTCTGCTTATCGAGACACTATAATTTCTAAGGGATTGAATTCATAGTTTGATGACTTCTTATGCCGTATGTTGCAGGAGCTGGAACAATTGGCAATCTCTCGGGCTCGTCCTTGGGAAGAAAAGGCTCTCTCACGGTGGTTTGTATCTTGAGCGCCATCTTCAGTTGCTTGACTGCCCTCTCTCTCCGGATCACTGGACCTATTGCCTCCTCTGCTTCATTACCGGATTCAGCATGGGCTGGGTCGGCCTATGCGCTTTCGTACTATCCAACGAGCCTACTGGCCCAAAGAAGCGCGGGGCGGCAAGAATTTCCACTTTCTACTTCTTCTCGTGCGGCATCACTCCTCTCCGGCATCGCTTTTGTGTTTCGCTTGTGGCGGGCTCTCTACATTTGCTTCCTCCATTCCCTCCATGATCTTCCTTGCGAGGTCCTCCCTTTCATCTCAGAGTCCCCATGGTGGTATCTCGTCCGGGAGAAGATTAACGAGGCCATGAAGCTTATGACGGCTATCGCCAAAGCCAACAAGAAACACCTCCCCAGCGGAGTCATTCTCGCACTCGATGAGAAAACGAATGAAAACTCGAATAACATTCGATCCTACAAACATCAGATGGACACAAAGGATGTGATAACAGGTCTCTCATTGATTTGGTGAAGTCGCCTATCACCGTGATTCACCTGTTTTCTTGTCCATGGCGATCAACTTCCTGTGTTCAGTCAAGTACAATGGCATTAGCCTAAACGTCATCAATCTCCACCCCAACTTTTACCTTAATGTGTTTCTCAATGGGGTGGCTGAAATGCCAGCCTCTATGACACCAGCAGTCTTGCTCGATAAGTTCGGGAGGAAGCCATTAGTGATTGGAACAGAGTGGTTCGGCAGATTCTTCTGCCTTATTGGGAGCTTGATGATGCTACACGGGATATGGAAAGTGGTGAGGATGGTGTGTGGAATTCTTGGGATTTTTTTGGCATGGCTGGCATGTACAATTTGGTCTTCATCTACACGACGGAGCTGTTTCCGACCATGGTGAGGAATGTGGCTCATGGCTGTGTAGCTCAGGCAGTGCAAATGGTTGCGATTTTAGGAGGTAACTTCCCAATTGCGGTCTTTGTGGTTTTTGCCATCCTGGGAGGAAGACTAGCGTTTTACCTGTCGGAGATGGTGAATCATCCCCCGTATGATACAATGGCTTGAATGGAAGCAGGGGAGAGTGCAAGCACGAGTGTGTGAAGGAACTCAATTCTCTTACTTTAAACTAAACTTGATTAATGTAGACTTAAATGACTGTTCTTGATAATAGGATTTTCCATCCTTTGTAAAATAATTGAAGGGTCACGTACGGTCACAGCAGCATTGACTACAGGAACGCATGATCACTTCTTTCTTTTTTCTTGGTTATGCCTTTTGGACCTGAGAAAGCAGGATGACAGAATCTGTCTTCTTAAGCAAGGAGAGAATGCTTGCCAGAGTATATCTTTCAGGTAGGTTGTGTTGCCTTAAAGCAGTATCACATGATTAGAGCGCATTGTACTGATCTTCGACTCATATTTGTTTTCAGATCAAGGCATTGTACTCCACATAATGAATCTATCTATTTTACTGACACAAGAGTATTAGGCTATATTGTTCACGGCAACACATGGTGAGCTTACAATTCAGTGACTTCTAAGGAATCAGAATAACTAACCCTGCCATTGATATGTTCAAAAAGAAAATATGTATGCCTAACCATTATGCCACCAATGATTTTACTTTGATCCTCTTATTTAAGCATCCAAACTGTGTATGTGAATGGTATCTGCCTTTATGCAAGAAGATAGACCCCACAAGTTCTTTGAAATAAAAAGTCGAATTTACCACAAGACCACTGCCTAAGGGACTACCCACACTAGGCGGCACAACCAACTCTATGCAGAACATGCAGAAAATTGCATCTCTCAGACAAGGAAAAATTTCTGCTTTTCCTTGTACTTTCACGCTTTCTCTAATTACATTTTTATACTTTTAGTATGTCTAATCCAGTTCTTCTACTTTCATAAATTTTTTAATCAACTCCCCCGACACCAAATCCGATCAAAATTCAACTGATGAGACCATTAGACAACACCAAAGTATGATTATTAAAATATGTGGATGGCCACATAGACGTAGGTGGAAAAATATAGCCATGTAGACAATGTCAGAGTTTGATGTGAATAAAATTTAGCCATGTAAACACTCTCTTGGACGTCCACATTAAAAAAAGAAATCCACATCATACCATGACATCGTTTGAGGCCACTTCAGCTTAGATTCTGTTGGATTTGATGTTGAAAAGACTTCATCATTAGAAAGTTTGTAAAAGTAAAATAGCTTAATCAGATAAATTAAAAAGCATGGGGATTAGAAAAAGTGTAAAAGTAAGAGGCAATTTAGAATTTTAACGTCAAGCTGACTAGTTGTTTTCAAATGGAAGTAAATAATATGCTACGAAGAATCATCATTTATAACAGAGGAATCATAAGTCGAGCCATGTCGATGGAAATAAACATATTCAATACACATGCTATATAGAAACACCAGACATTTACAAGATGCCAGTTGAGACTTGAGAGAGTGTATCTATTCAAGCAACGAAAACAAAGGCCGTTGATAAGTAAGGAAGACACACCGAGAAACACAGAAACAGAGATGGTTATCATAGAGAGGAAAAGAAGGCATAAACCAAGCATATGTCATCACAGGAACCGGAGGTGCTTTGAACATCAATCGAGCAAGATGATGTAGTAATGGCGATAACTTCGATGTCCGCTGCTGTCAGAAGACAATTCATCCTCAGCTGATCATCTGCGGCTTCATCAGTCTAGGTGTAGAATGATTAAATTTTGTTAGTCATTTGCAAAGATCATCATCGTCCTACATAAAATATCGTGCCACATGACTATTAATGAAAAAGCTATCAACATATGATGGCGATGCATTTCGAGAAAGCTTACCAAAAACATGATCTGTGGCCCATTCGCTTGATGACACCTACACTCCTGCCTAATTTCTGTCCAATGTTCACGCTTCCGAAACCTCGGCCTCCATAGCTTTCACTAATAACAAAAGAAAACAATTGAAAGAAATTAGAGACTTCTTTTGCTAATCAAGTTAAAGCGAAAAGAATTTAAACAATCCAAAAAAAATTAGAGACTTCTCTAGGCAATCGAACTTGATGAAATTAAACAGAAAGAAATTCAACACGTGCAAATATGCAATTGGAAGTTCAAGAAAAGTATTCGTTTCTAAGGCTCCGTTTATTTCGCGGAAATAAATGATTTGAAAATTATTTTCTAGAGAATGATCGTTTAAAATAATTGGTCAATGAAAATATTTTTCGTTATCGACAAAAATATATATCTAAATATTTTCATAGACGATGAAAATAGTTTTCGTTTATTCATTTTTGCAAGTAACGCAAACGATTATTTTCAGGAAAATATTTTACAAATCATTCATTTGCCGTGAAACAAACGTATCCTAAAAATAAGAAAAAAATAATTTACAGTGATTTAATTTTTTGATGATTACAGTACAGTGATTAATTTAAAAATCAAAAAGGAGTTTGAAATTAAAAATAGGAGTACTGGATGAGGTAAAATAGAAAAGGCAACAAAAAGAAAAAGGAAAAAAAGCAGTTGACATGCTCTCTTAAACTGTCCCAACTAATAAAGTAGTACTTGGGAATTGACTCGATATTTTGGCACTTTTAAGTACTAGAATATTACCATTATTATTCTTTAAAAGTGATGGGATTCTTTTTTTCTTTTTTCTTTTTACCTTACTTTTTGAACAATGCCATGGCAACTGATTTTCAATGATAATATAACCATTTTTATGTACTTTCAAGCTGTAATAAAAGTTATACGCAATGGACCTAATAGTTAATATAAAGTTTTGAACAAAAGGGATTTACCGTAACGTGGGAGATGGATCTTTAGATGAAGAGAATAAAGGAAATGTAAAAGTGTGTGGGTGACTCACTCAATAAAATTGGCAAAGGGTTCAAGGGAGGAACGGGCAAGGGGATGGTCCCACTCCAGCGACTCCCACGTTTGCTGATCCATCCAAATCTCTCGAAGAGAGGGGGGAGGAGAAGGGACGCCATTGTGAAGTGGGCCCAGTCGTAAAGGAATCCTCTTTAGCTTCGGACAATTATATATAGCATAATATCGGATTGAATCGCAACTCACGATCCCATCACATATCCTCTTCAGTTCCGGAAGATTGCATAGAGTCAGTCTTGTTAAATTTGGGAAGGAGGAGTGTGTCATGCCGGGATCAATGCCTATTATCACCTCTATGCCCTTGCAGCCTTCGACTTTTATCTCTTGGAGGAAAGGGAGGTGGGGCAACATGCGAGGCGTCAGCAGCACCCCCTTCATGTTGTTGCATCCAGTTATTTCAAGAACTGTAAGAAGACAAGTGGCACCGATTGGCAATGGCCCACCTATTATTTCCTCTAATTTCTCACAATCGTATATTCCAATGGACTTGAGATTTGGAAGGCGAGTGAATAGCCACTCCCATTCCACCGCTCTCTTCATTTTAGGACACTCGGACACTTCCATATGGTTTAGACTGGGCGCAGCTAACTTGATCCCCTCCAGTTCCTTTGAGCCCTCGATTTTAAACGATTGTAGACGTGGAAGCCCCTGCCCCTCCTCCAAGAGATGCTTCAGTTTGAAACATCTAGTGATATTCAGGACCCGCAGGTGAGGGAAGTGGAGAGGACCCAGCTCCTCCAACTTCTCCCATTCCTCTATAGTCAGCTCCTCCAGATTCTCCAGTGGGCCTACCTCGCTCAAACTTGTCACCCCACTGCCCCGTCCTATTTTCAGTACTGGCACATTTTTCAGAAGCAGAATGTAGCCATCACCACCAATTTCTCCATCTACCCTTGCCGCAATACTGTCACAACTTTCGATAATTATAGGCCTCTTTTGATTGCGCCGATTGGAGAAATCCTCTGCTCCACGATGTTCAAAAAAACAATTGAAAGAAATTAGAGACTTCTTTGATTAATCATATTAATGAGAAAAGAATGTGAACAATCCGAAGAAATTAGAGACTTTCCTGGCCAATCGAACCAAATCAAATTAAACAGAAAGAAATTCAATATGTCCAAATATGCAATTGGAAAGTTGAGAAAAGAGTTCCTTTCTAAAAACGAGAAAGACTAATTTACACTGGTTTAATTTTTTGCTTAAAATATTGTGATTAATTTCAAAATCTGATTGGACTTTGAAAGCGAAAATAGAAGTAGTGGATGAGGTAAAACAGAGCAAGCAACAAAAACAAAAGGTAAAAAGCATTTAATATGCTCTCGTAAATTCTCCCAACTCCTAAAGTAGAACTTAAGAAATGACTCCATGGTTTAGCACCTTTAAATGTCATAATTTACCAAAACGAAGAAGAAGTGTAGTATTTTTAAGGTGCAATAGGGAAAAAAGGGGTGAGGGCTGTTGCCAATAGAGTATCCGATCCGAACCGAAAAATCGAATCGAGATATGAGCCGAACCGAATCAAAAATTTCGTGCATTTTGATTCGGTTCTGTTCTCGGTTTGGATAATGAAAAATAACCATTCTTTTTTTAGATTCAGTTTTTTCCGGTTCGGTTTGGATCAATCCGAACGGAAAAAATAACGTTTCTGTTTTTTACCCTAACCTTCGTCTCGACTCTCTTCTTTCTCACCCCTCCCGAATCCTCAAATCCTCTCTTTCTCTGGCCTTGTTTCACTGCTCAGCCCCTCGAACTTCATTCTCGAGCCGATTGAGCTCGACCTTGACGGGATCTGTGTCATGGAGCAGGTGTCGGCGTCGAAGTTGGGTCAGACCGAGGTCCTCCTGCGGGAGCCCCTCCCACCCTCCTTGAAGGACGCCGACACCGTGAGGGGCGGGGTGGCCTCTGCCCTGCCGTTGCTGCAGCAGGTGGTGAGCTCTGCGGGCGCCCCCCCGTCGCCGAATGCCTCCGCCATCACCGATCTGATCAATGCTCCTCGTCCACTCATGCCCGAAGATCCATCCACTAGGGTTTCGACCACAGGATGAGAGAGAGAGAGAGAGAGAGGGGGGAGAACTGGGAAGAAGGCGACGGCGTTGTAGAGCGAGAGAGAGGGAGTAAAGCGAAATGGGGATGAGAGAGAGAGAGAGCAGTATCTCAAGGTAAATCTCTAAAAAAAATAAAAAAAAATTTGGATTTAGAGAGGACTGATAAGACTGGTATGAAGTTAAAAAGTCGAAAACCAATAACCCAATCGAACCAAATCGAATCGATTTTTTGGTTCGGTTCATATATTTAGTTTTAATCGAGGTTTGATTCGGTTTAAACGAGCATCTCTAATGGTTCGGTTCGATTCGATTTTTTAAGAAAATCGAATCGAATCGAACCATTGACACCCCTCTCGCCAGTATTATTGTTTGAAAGTAAAGGGAGTGTTTTCTTTATCAAAATTTCAATAATAATATAACCATTTCGATATAACTTTCAAGCTGTAATTAAAGTCATGCGCACTAGGTTAAACAGTTGGTATAAAGTTTGGAAGAAAAGGGAACTCACTGTGCCGCAGGAGATGGATCCTTAAAAGGGCACGCCGGAGATGGAGAGGATAAAAGAAAAGTAAAAATTTGTGGGTGACGACTTACCATAAAACCTGACAAAGTGTTCAAGTGAAGGTCGCGAAAAGGGTTTGTCCCGCGCCAGCGATTTCCACGTCAGCCGATCTATCAAAATACTCCGAAGAGAGAGGGGAGGATACTCCAGCGACTCCCACGTCAGCTGATCTATCAAAATGCCCTGAAGATAGAGGAGAGGACAAGAGAGCCCATTGTCAAGCAGAGGAAGCCTCTTCAGCTTCGGACAATTTTTAACATCAATACATTGGAATGAAACCCAATTCTCGATCCCATCACATGTGCTCTTTAGCTCCGGAAGATTGCATAGAGTCAGGTGGATTAAATTTGGGAAGAAGGGGTGCCTCACATCGGGAACAGTGCCTATTATCACCTCTATGCCCTTGCAGTCTTGGACTGTTATGTCTTGGAGATAAGGGAGACGAAGCAACATGTCATGCGTCAGAAGCACCCCCCTCATGTTGTTGCATCCATATAGTTCAAACTCTGCGAGAAGACAAGTGGCACCAATTGGCGTTGCTGGCCCACCACCTATTATCTCCTCTAATTTCTCACAATTGCTTATTTTAATGGACCTCAGATTGGGAAGGCGAGTGGCCAGCCGCTCCCATTCCACCGCTCTCTTCATTTTAGGACACCTGTACACTTCTATATTATAAAGAAGAGGTGCCACCATATTAATCTCCTCTAGTTCCTCTGAGCCCTCGATTCTAAACCATTGTAGACGTGGAAGCCCCTGCCCCTCCTCCAAGAGATGCTTCAGTTTGGAACACCCAGTGATTTTCAGTCTCTGTAGGTGAGGGAAGCGGACGGCGCCCAGCTCCTCCAAATTCTCCCATTCCTCTATCGTCAGCTTCTCTAGATTATCAAGTAGGCCTATCTCGCACAAACTTATCACCCCACCACACCGTCCAACTTCCAGTACTTGCACATTTTTCGGAAGTAGAGCGCGGCCATCCCCACCAATTTCTCCATCTACCGTTGCCGCAATACTATGGCAACTTTCGATGATTATATGCCTCTCATGTATATCCATAAAGGAGTAGTATCTAGATTCATACAACCTCAATTTGTATGGTCGGGAGCTGTTTTGCTCGAGAAACCTCACGCATGCATTGAATGTTTCAACATTTGAAACAGAGCAATAGAGTCCTTCCACCTTCGCTAATATTTCCTCGTCCCAAACCGTCCTCTTTTTAATCACCAAATATTGCAAGTTCACCAGCTTCCCCAACACTCCTTCTGGTAACGTCTCGATCTTTGTGCCACTTAGGTCGAGGTAACTCAACTTTACCAACATCTCCATCCCCTCTGGCACTTCTTCAAGCATTTCACATCCACTCATGTCCAACTTTCTTAGGGATCCCAACTTTTGTACACAAGGTATACGACATAATTCGTTACACTCTCGGAGCAACAGTGCTTCCAAGCTCTCTAAGTGAGAGATGGCATTTGGTAATTCCGTGAGTCGAGTGATGCTGAGATCTAGAACCTTCAGCCCCTTCATATGCTTGAATCCTTCTGGTAATGTCTTGATCATTGTGCATTGTAGGTCGAGGTAACTCAACTTTACCAACATCTCCAACCCCTCTGGCACTTCTTCAAGCATTTCACACCCACTCATGTCCAACTTTCTTAGGGATCCCAACTTTTGTACACAAGGTATATGACATAATTTCTTACACTCTCGGAGCAACAGTGCTTCCAAGCTCTCCAAGTGAGAGATGGCATTCGGTAATTCCGTGAATCTAGTGTAGCTGAGATCTAGAACCTTCAGCCCCTTCATATGCTTGAATCCTTCTGGTAATGTCTTGATCATTGTGCCTTGTAGGTCGAGGTAACTCAACTTTACCAACATCTCCATCCCCTCTGGCACTTCTTTAAGCATTTCACACCCACTCATGTCCAACTTTCTTAGGGATCCCAACTTTTGTACACAAGGTATATGACATAATTTCTTACACTCTCGGAGCAACAGTGCTTCCAAGCTCTCCAAGTGAGAGATGGCATTCGGTAATTCCGTGAATCTAGTGTAGCTGAGATCTAGAACCTTCAGCCCCTTCATATGCCTAAAGAAAGATTCGTGGATAGCTTCCAGAAACATATTGTTATTCAACGATAGGCTCATAAGTTTAGGGCAATTTGGTGATATGCCATCCGGGATTTCTTGTATATCGTTGCCCTGTAAAAAGACTTTCTCTAAACGATCGGTCCAGAACTCTTCCTCTGGAATTTCTTTCAATCCCATTTCGGCCTTGACCACGTGTGTTGTGCTCCTCATTATATGCAATGCCATGCCTCTTATCAACGGGTGTAGAGATATATGTTGTCCATCTTCATCACAAAGGCAACCCTTTCTTAATTTGTCTAGTATGATGTTACCCTGTTCGTACAGTTCTTGCCGGGAGCCAATTCTATCTAACAAACCCTCATCTATGAAAGACTCTATCAACTTTGTTTTACTAGATTTTTGATATACTTGTGCTAAATGCAAGAAACACTGTTGCACCTGAGAATCACCCAAGTTCACGTAACTAAGTTTCAGTCTCTTGAACACGTTAAGTTCCACCCTCGACTCTTCTAATTTCCACAACATGCCTTTCCATTCGTGCACTTCCTCTACTCTCCTCATGTGAGTTGCAATCTCAATGATCCCAAGTGGCAAACCCCCACACTTATCAACAATGGACTTTGCAATTTTTTCGACTTCTGAAGGAAGTTCTCTCCCAAAGCAGAGTTTCTCTCTAAATAAGCTCCAATCATCTTCATTTATTTTTGCTAGAGGTTTTATTTTGATTTCCTTTTGGCAGAGCATCTCATGACACACATTTAGCGATCGAGTTGTCAATACCAACTTAATGCCACCCTTCTCAACTGGAATTCCCACATCCTCAAAGTCGAAGTGCATCCACAGGCCATCTAAAATTAATACAGCTCTCTTTTTCTTTAAATGCCTATTCAACATGGACGCCCTCCTTTTCACGTCCTTATCCTTTGAGAGGTTGTCTAGTCCGATTGCATTGGCAATCTCGTCTTGTAGTTCACAGAAGCTAAACTCTTGAGCTACAGTGACCCAAAACACGTCATTGAAGGCAGAATTCTCAAGCATTCTATTATGGACATGCATTAAAATGGCTGTCTTGCCAACTCCTCCCATTCCATAAACACCAATGATGAAAATTTCATCCTCCATTAAATAGTCACAAATCTCTTCGATTGTCTGCTCGCTTTTTTTGCCTACTAGCTTTGTTGTTACCAAAGGTGAACTTTTCCTACATCCCGCGCCATGTGTTGTCAACCCTCTTTGGAAGCTACAATAGCCTAGAATCTCTTCAATTTCTTTGCTCAAGTCGTCCACTCTTTCTACTTGCTGCGCAAAAAAAGATTTTCCTTCTCGGAATGCTTGGACCATACTCCAGTCTTTTATCCTTTTTGATTGCCTATACCATGTCTCCAACTCATCCAAGTCTGCTACTCGTCTGCTTAGTTCTTCCAGCTTTCTTTTCAGAGTTGGCATATATTCGCCAACAAGCCCAAAAACACCTGATCGACTATCCATGAGTGCATCATCTGTCCTCGCGTCTAACATCAAGGAAATACTTATAGCATTTTATACAAACATAATATTCATAAAACAAATTGAATTTATGAAAAGAAGAAACCATCAATTATGTCTAAATGAAATTAGATAAACAATATGAGTGTAAATAAAGGATCAAAGTTTCAAGGAAGGCGGGGTATTTGGGGTTGAGTACTTGCCTTGTTCCTGGGCTTGGTCTCTTAATGGGTTGATGAGAGGGTATAGTTTAGGTACGTTGGGTTTAGGTTCTACTTTGGGTTTTGGGTCTGCTGGGTTTAGTTGGTGTAGGTTTGGGTTGAGCCTTTTGGCTCTTGGGGTACCTATGGCATGGGTTGAACTGATATTTGAGCCTGTATGGGATGGGTTGAATTGATATTTAATTAGGCCTGTATGGGAAGTGGTTCTCCCTATATTTTATATTAATATACAAATATGAAAATTGAAGTATGTATTTTAGCAGAAATTACTCGTTTCAATACTTTGAACAAAATAAACTACATTACTGTAATATTGAGAGAAAATAATAAAATCTTTCAAAGAAATACTTTATAGGAAGAGTTACGAAAAATGTTAGAATTTTCAATAAGTGTTAATTTGCAACATTAAAAATTATTAAACCAATCTTTTTTTGCTGGATGAAACTCATGGTATGGAATGGGGCAAGTAATCCAAGTTGACGGCAAAATGAGTCGAGAGTGCAAGAAAATACTACTTGCAAAGAGAATCAATCTCTTGCAATTTAGACTCATATGTCTCGACCAAAAACAAAAAAAACTCCTGTGTGTCACTCTTAAAGGCAACCCTCAAGAAAGAGCTTGTTATTACATAATTATATAGACGCTAACATATATGTACCCATTCTTTCAAAAAGTTCGAGCAGTACAATACTAGAAAAATTTAGATCAATCCCATAAGGCAAAAGTAGAAGTTAAAAATAAAAGTCACCGTAACAAGACCTTAAGTTGAATTTTAAAATTAAAATCGAAAATAAAGGAGATATACCTTGTTTCCACATGTAATGTACAAAGACTAATGCCCCAACACTGTCCTATTAAAAAGGAGCAATACTTGCTTTCAATTTGATCTTTGATTGGTGGGTGATCCATTTGGATGTTACTCACCCGTGACGGTAATTAATAGCACTAAGAAAAACGAAACCACACAATATTGATGGCTTGGAGGCAATGGATTACAATCTCTCGCCCCATTATCGTACTTTAGTTAATGTCCCAACAATTCCAGCCATACTTAATTAAAAATTTGAAAACAAGTAATATTCATATAACTTAAATTTAATATGATTGAAGGTGTTTTTATTTAAAGTCTCATATAGGTGGCATTTGAATATGAAAACAATCAATTGAAGGATGATTTGGAGATAAGTATGAATCATTGAAAGAGCAAAAAATTTATTATACGCGATCCGAAAATAGTTATATGTGTGCAAGTGTTATATCTTGTGTGGACACATATTTAACAAATGGGGAATATTTCTTAGATGTATGTGCTTGTGTCATTTGGATAGCATGGGAGTTGAACTTAGCTCCGCCATCATTCATTATAATACAAAATAAGAAGTCTTATCTTATTTCTCTAATCATATGAGAAATAACTAGCAACGGTGCAATCTTAACCCCATATTTTTCCTAAGGAAACTGGACAAATTAAAAGGGAAAAAAAGAAACATAAAATTATTAATGACCAAATATTCAAATGATTTTATACTTGTATTACGAACTGTTCCAATGTGACGAGATACGGTTCTTTTTACTGAAATTTTATGAAATATTGTCAATCTGTTAAGTTCAAGTTAACCACATTGTATTATGTCGTGTTCAATTTAGGCTCGGTTTTCTCAATAGATTTATATTGTATTCGAGTCATGTTTTTGCCGGTACGAAACACTTTGTATTCATTTTACTTTATACAACTCATTGTAATTTGATTTCTCTTTTCTATTTAGTATCAAAATCCAAATCGAGAAAGAAGTAAAAAGGGTGGCTAGCTTGGATTTTAGTGTGCAATTAAGCGATTCCGCAATTCATATAAACAAAAATTCACTAGCAAAAGGAAAAAGTATAGCGGAAGGACTAACGCAGGCCATTTTTTAACATAAAAAAGATGGAGGGATGATTTTGATTTTCGGACAAACTAGAAGCGCCACCGTTAATATTATTCCTTTAATAAAATAAAATGACAATCTTTATTCCACTCTTTCTCGCATCCGGTTGCCCACCTCTCTAAAGTGAAACTTGTGGTCAGTATGCCACCGTTAGAAATTTACTATAACTGCGCCGTCCTCCTAGCAGGACTCTTCCACGATTTGAAAGAGAGCCATGGAGCCATGGCTTTTCAAGATTTGAATGTCACCCTTCAAAGCATTTGTCTGCTCATTTTCTAAGAACCATTAGTTATCATTGACCCGACTCTTATCAAACTCCTCTCTTCCAATTAATTCCTGTCTATTTTGTGTTTTCTATTACTAATAGAAATCTAAGCGTCCTGCCTATATCCCTATTCTTAGCTAAGGATTAGAAGACAAAGTAAGCGTCCTGCACGAGCTGTAACATATGGTGAATTTGGAGATGCACATACCTTGTGGAACCTCTGTATTGGGTTCTCCCTCTTCTGCATTCACTGGGGCTGGCATGTTAGTCAAAGGTTCAGGTGCGAGATCTGGACGGCTTCTAGGATAACTAAAATTCCACGGCTGACTGGAAGAATCACCAGCTTGAGATTGAGGTTGTTGTGGCGAGAATGGAAATTCCCCCCACGGGATCATGTTTTGAGCCGGAAGAGACTGACTCGGCAAATTTGTCTCAAGCAATGGAAGAAAGGCTGATGAACTTGCACCTACAGTGCTTATGACATCAGACCTCAGGTCCGGCATGGCAGCAAATGAAGGCTCTCTCCGAGCATCTTCATTGTTCGCAGTCACAGGCAGATGCGGACCCTCTTCAACATTGCCCTCTGCTCCATTGCTCGGCTCTGCCGCTCCTTTACCCTTCAACGCATTTCTGGCTTCCGATCTCACTCGGCCGTCGACGTCCTTGCAGTCATTGATCCCATATCCTGCAACTCCGGCTAAGTGGGCCTTGATCCTGGTCACACTTCCGCCATACTCCTTGCTGCAGAAGTTACACTTCCACTTGTTGTTAGGCAGGAACTTCACATGATCCCGAAAGGAGTCCTTCTCTCTGGGCATTTTCTTAGTGTCCCTCAAAAGAATGAGCAGATATGTTTCAAGGAAGACCTTGGATCTTTTTGTGGTGAAGAATGGCGTCGGGAGCCGGTAAGATATTTAAATGAATTTTGGAGTTGGGAATAGGGTGAAAGTCTTCGTCAATCTCCAATTCTTTTAGAAAGAAGGCCCTGCTTCAGTGACCCCACCCTCATTTCTTGCCAACTTCTCTTTTCACTCTCGGATACGAAGAAAACATGTTTGGTTCAACGATGCACACGGTAAAACCATCCAGTTTACACGCATCGAGTATGGCTTTGACCGGCCGCTTTGAAAGGTAGTTAGAGTTGGGATTCGCGACGTGGCTCAGACATGGACCTATAACATCTCTGACGAAGCGGTTGACCGACCACTCAGAAAATTATGGAAGTTATTTATGGTAAAGCGCAAAAAAGTCTTCGCTCTTTGCTCACCGGAACCATTAAGGGAAAAGGACAGATACCAAAGACTTTAAAAGTGGCCCTTTAAGTCAAAGTCTGCCTTAACTCCGTGCCCAGCCCTCTAGAATGATTCTTTCAATCTAAAGATAAATTAACGTCTTTAATTTCAACACATAATTTTAATGATCAAAATGTATTTGCACACAATGGATTTAGGATTGAAATTAACGGCTTTAATTTCAACACATAAAGAGCAAAGACTTTAAAAGTGATCGTCTAAGTCAAAGTCTGAGTCAACTATGTGGCCAGCCCTCTAGAAAGATTCTTTCTATCTAAAAGATAAATTAACGTCTTTAATTTCAACACATAATTTCAATGATCAAAATGTTTTTGCACACGATGGATTTAGAATTCAAATTATGGCCATTTTTCTCCCTTCCTCCTCAGTTTTATGAAACGAGGTAGTTTCATAGGATTCTACTTCTTTGCTCGGTGGGTTCTTTTTGTACCCTCTTATCTCACATCAATGACAAGGCCACTAGACATCGGCCCGTGGTTGAGCGGCAACAATTCTCTATTTTGCTCTCTAATGGACAATTAATTGGTAGCAAAAAAAATAAAATAATAATAGTAATTTACTTGTGAGAGAAGGTTCATTCGCCACCATACTTAATCTAACTAGGAGGTATTAAAGCCTGTGAATCACGGGTGACGGCTAAATTCGGGCACAATTGCGATAATTTTTCATATCGAGACAGATATTTTAATTTTCAGGATGATAAAATATTAAAATGGATAATTATTGTGGCAAAATGCTTTTGAAATGACCTAAAAAAAGTCGCCTGTTTCACAATGCATACCTATTAGAACAAACAAGCTGTGAATTAGTCATGTCCACAGATTGAGGAAATGGTTTTGAGATGTATCAGAGTAGCTTGCACGGCCATGGGTTGAGGAAATGTACCCGTCTCTAGCCAGTAGCTATTCTCTTATTCATGTACTGATCTCAAGAGAAGGATTTCTACAATCACTAAGGCTGGCGACTGGCAGAGGGAAATAAGGAAAAAAGAAAAAAGAAAAAGGAAACGTAAAAAAGGGAAAGCAAAAAAGAAAAAAGGAAAAAAAATTCAGAAAATTTTAAAAAGAATTATCAAAATTGTCAACTTTAGTGTCGGCCATATCACGTAGGATAACCGGCACTACTTAAATCGCCACGTCAGTATTTTCAGGCCAAAATTAGTCGGGAGGACTAAATTGGCAAATCATAAAAAGATTAGGACTAAATTAGCAAATCGTTAAAAGATTTAGGATTAAATTAACCAAAATTAAAAGATTTAGAGCTGAATTTGCACAAATATAATAGGTTTATGACTTTTTTTTTTGTTAATTTCCCCTACAAGTTCCTTCACACTAGCAACCAAAATATCACAGCTACTCAAAGAAAATAGTATCCCATATTGATATTATCGGGGCTAATCCCATATGATTGTTGGCGCAATCACTAGAAGTAGTATATATTGGAGGATTAGGAACATGATGATCTCGAAGAAACGAACTCAACCATACTCATCTTCTTCTACTATCTAAATTTTCCATTCTTTATGAGGTGATATTCATTGTTCGTGGTTTATGGCTGAACGTATTTACTTTAAATCCGCTCCACTTGTTATTATATGAAAATATCATTTGAGACTTCATTTCGTTCATCGTTAGTGAAATATACATTTTTCTCCCTTAATTTGAAGGTAAATTTGGGGCCCTAAGGGGGGCAGGGGCCAGCACTAGCCCCAGGGGCGCTGCACCTCCCTAGGTAAGTCAATGCCCCTAGATATTTTTGCCGACCATATTTATTAAGCAGGTGGAAACCGATGTGTTTGGAAAAGTAGGTACAATAACATGAGGGTGAATTTCCTAAAAAAATCTCCAAATTTACGTCAAGTTTCAAATCTATTTTAAACTTTTTGAATTTTATTTTACATAAAAAAATTATCAAAATTCAATTTATTTTTAAAAATATATCACAGTGATTCAATCCTAACTTGATGTAATACTTTCACGTTGATAATAAATCCACATCAACAAAGTAATGAAGCAATAGGTACAAATCAATGTTACATTTTCACTTCGATAACAAATCCACCTCAATAAAAATTGTTAAAATTCTCTAAAACAAAACCGTTCTAGGATATGAAAATTAGGGACGATAACAAATTCACCCTAATTTTTTTTTAATTTAAAGAAAAACCTAATTTTTAAGTTCAGTTCAAGATTTTCCCAAACTTTTCCTTGTCTAAAAAAAGCTTCATGATTTTGTCGGTATGAATTTATTATTGACATGAAAGTGCCACGAATAAAGGCACCTTCTGATAAAGAACGAAAGGGGCAGGAAAATGGGGAGACGTTCATGGTGGTCTGCTGAGTTGCGTGTGGAATAAAATATGGTTACTGGTGAGAACAGAATAAAGATTCACAAGGGTTTAAGTCAAAGTGGGCGGCAACTTTATGCACAGCCCTGTCCAAAGATAAATTAACATCTTTAATTCACTTTTCTTTATAGAAAAAGGACATTGCAATACACAATTTTTTTCAATGATTTAAATATGGTTCCACATTGGATTTAGGATCAAATCGACCATTTTCCTCCCTTCCTCCTCAGTTTTATGAAACTAGGTATCTGCTTGGGGGTTACTTTCGTCCCTCCACAAACCACAAAGTATTTATTTATAATCGATGATCGAGTTGGCAAGCACTTAGCCAGTGGTCGGTGCATGACACGGAGTTTTCTCTAAAATCTAGTTAGAAACTAAGATCAATATTTCATGAATATGAATAATAAAAGTATAAAAGCAAGACTAGGATAGAAGCTTCACAAAGGAACTGTCTAATTTTGGAGTCCAAGCGAGTAGTTACATAGGAAACACACTAACGAAAGATTTTTAATGTGACACCTATCCAACTTTAGAGCTCAACTAAAAGGAGACGTCTTTTGAAAGTTATATCAATTGTATATTTCCTTAGGATATTACACGTATATTGGCTGATAAGATTGAATGTTTTGTAATTATGCCTATTCCAAATTTCTGATTATCATTCAAGCGAATGGGATCAAGCTGAGGTCAACCCGATCCTACCAGTGAATTGCAACAGTAGTGTTAGAAATACTAAGATTTGCCTAGTAAATTAATTTACTTAGTGATGTAACAATCCGTAAGTAATTATTTTCGTCGGTAAAATCTTTTGACCACTCAATAGAAAATCTATCACTCGATTTAGCAAACAAATTCAGTCGACAAGTCTTAGTATGCCTAGATTATCAGAATTCTTTCAATCATATTTCTAACTATTCAAAAAACTTCAATTAGGATTCAAGCACAAGGGTAAAAAAAAAGATTCTTTATATGCGGTTGACCCGAAGCAACCCGGAATTTCCAAATTGGATTGACCCAACTTTTTTTGCTGTCTTTGGGTGAAAGTCTTTTAGAAAGAAGGCCCCGCTTCAGTGACCCCACCCTCATTTCTAGCCAACTTCTCTTTTCATTCTCAGATATGAAGAAAACACGTTTGATTGGGTTCTGGAAATTTTGCAGTTCAGATTTGCAACTACTTTTCTGTGTTTTTTCAATGTTTTATTCTCTTCGGGAACGTGGTTTTCTTTCTCGTTCAATGTTCATGGGTGTGCACTCTTTCTTGGGTAATCTTTCTCTCTCTCTCATGCACTCTCCCTTCAGCCCCTAATCTCGTCCTTGACTCCGCCCGCTTACAGCAAAATTCACGGGTCAGCCGCACCCTCAAGTTTTTCCATCTACTTGGGTTCTTTACAAACTAATTCTAAGGATACATGGTAATCTCTCCGGTTTACACGCATCAAGTATGGCTTGACTGACTGACCACTCAGCTAATTATGCAATTTATATTTTATAAAGCAATAAAAGTCTTACCACCCGCCTGGGTGACGCTGCTGGAGCGCGCACTCTTCCTCTCGCAAAAGGTTGAGTATTCGAATCCCGGGTGCCGCAGGGTGACTTAACCGGTGCAAGTGTGTGGTGACTAGCACGTGTCGCCCCCAGGGTTTACCTCCCGGCTGTCGGCCGTGCGGGGGTTCCCTGGGTCACAAAAAAAAAAAAAAAAAGTCTTCGTTCTGTGCTCACCGGAAACATTAACTATCTTATCTAGTAGAGAACATATTCCGGAAAAAAATCTTCAGAACTGTTGTTTCTGAAACCAGACCAGAT